GTCCTTCTTATTTTCAGCCAACCAGAATTTGACGCAATGTTTACTCACTCGCAATTAGCGTAAACGTTAAAGGTGCTTTAAAATTAAAGCACCCTTATTGGTACTTTTTATGTAAATTTCTAATGGCGCTAACAACTTCGGTCAAATATCCTGAATGCCATACGCCAAGATCACAAGCACGGAGGGCATCCAGCTCTACGCATATAGAGCGACGTTAGGCTCAACATCCCCAGACAAAGCTTTTGTAGCCAATCAAAACTCGGTGTCAAACCAGGTTGTATTCTTACAGTACAGTACAATACAGTACAGTACAGTACAGTACATGTACAGACCGGAATTCGACATATATAGTACTGTATGCAACATTCCGGTACAAAGTGGTGCAATTTGTACCATCTGTCTGATGCATACACTTACCGATAATATCGTACAGAAGTACTACTGGCCGAAGCTGATATTAACCAATTAGATGTTTCTATAGGCCAGACACGAAATGCGATGCGGCCAATCTACTAAAAAGGAGGCACGATAGCCCATAGTAAAAGTAGATTTTTTTAATGACAGTTACGTAATACCGAGCAGTTAGTAATGACCCTTTGCGACCCGGTTCCCCCTATAATATAAACCGAGCATACAATAGAAGTATTAATATAGGTATTCTTTACCGGTAGAGTGGCTCCCACGATCAATAGAGAACTGAGTTGGAGTAAGGAATATCTAAGCAACAAATCCGGATTAGCCAAAAATAGATTTCCGAGTGGATATTTTGAGATGCTCCATTACTTAACTCTATCGTTACCAGAAAGATACATTAGGTATCTTTTTAGGCTGGCTATACTGAAATCAAGACACCTTATTGTCATATTTCTTTCCTTCGCGCTAATCGTCGCCCATGTTTTGCCCAATCGCAGCTTAGGAAGCGATGTTTTAGAAAGCCAATGTACCCACGCAGCTGTGCCGATGCCTTGTCCTATTGTGTCTCATGGAGTACTGCAGAGAAACTGGCAACCAACGCATCTATCAAACCCGCGGCACATTCACAACACATTCTGTAGCACAATTATACTCGAAGAAAGATCTGATGTAGGCACTACAGCCGCTTTCTCAAGGCGCCCATCGTATCACCATGATCGCTTTCACCACGCATCCCCGCCAGCAACAAGATAAGGAAAGTTGTCATCACTGCGGTATCTTAGGAACATGGGAGCTCGTCGCTGTGGTAGTGGGTACTTAGCAATGACGCAGAAATGCCGCCAGCATGTATAACTCTCGCTCCTCTCTCTTCACGCTTCAGGTGGCTATCGGCACGCCTACGACTTCAAGTAGCACGGAAAGGTCCGCGATTTGGTAAAGTTACTGCTGTTTGCCAAACTATATTTGGTGTGCGACTACAGGCTGTTAGGGGCCAGCATATTCTTCATGCCGTGCGTGTGTCGATAATTGCTGAGTTTGCTCAAGAAGAAAGTTCCGCCAAGATGGAGAGCTCAGGTGTTTTCGCAGAAGCCGCGACGAGAACGCCGCATGGAGAAAGGAGAACAGCGCTACAGAAGAAGAGATGTCAGTCGCCCGTATATAAAGAGAAGCTCAGAGCCTAAGGACTCGATGTGCTGGGCAGTTCTCCCCTTGGCGATCCAGAAATGAACTGTACTAATTACTGATGCGTCGATGGCGCTACCCATAACCGGGATAATGAAGTTCATGGACCGTAAAACACAACCGAAGCTTGAGGTATGGATCCCTGGTTTTAAAAACCGGTTCTATGAAGAATCGCATGACGACAGAAGAAAAAAAATATGCATTATCCGTCACAGTTACTATTGATAGGTATCTTCGCTTGACGAAGCTCTTTCAAGAACGGGGCCTGTGCTTTATAGATCGATGAAGACCTTTTCAGGTTTCCGTCGACTGTGTAGACTTGCTTTGGTAAGAAAAAGAAGTGATACTTCTGCCAGCATGTCCACGCTTTCTGTTGGCATAGGTGAGGCTTAGCAGTGTCAACCGGATATGTACGCTTACAGAGTGCCACTCGGTGTGTCTCGCAGTAATCCGTTTTTGGGTGGGATATCTACCCTCGAACTTGCAAATGGTGCATTTGCGCTTCGCTCTGCTTCTGTCATTCAAGGCGAGCGATGCCTCTTTTGCACGCAAATCAGTGGCATAGCTATAGAACTCTCGTTTCCC